ATTATAAGTAATTATTGGTAGTAGCCTCTCAATTCATAGTGTGACAGTGAATTTGCTTTTCCTATGCGAGGAGTGAACTGATCCATAGATAAGTAAACTAACTAAGCTGTCCTTTCCCTCCCGATTTGCTTTGACTCCGATTGCTATGTATAAAATCGAATCATACAACTCCTATCGATCCGCCGGCAGGCTATCTCGTGTCAGACTTCCCGGTTCCGGTGCTATAATAGTTATAGCAGATGCTGGCTCTGGGGCAATCAAAGTCCTTCGCTTCCCACCTTTGCATAAGTCGTCTCTCACGACGTCGCCTGCTACCTTGCTAGTTCACTCATCTTTTTCGCTATTACATTCTCTCATACCATGCCTTGAATCGCCCTTTGTCTCAGTCACAAGTCCTCTCAAGATTTTCGTCACCAGCCTCTCCCACATCTATTTACCTCTAATTACTTACACCAACATACATTTTATTTACCGATTGGGCCGAGCCGTTCATCAATCACTTGTCAGGCGTCGAGAACTTCCCGCCGTCGTTTTGCCCGTTTCGAAGAGCACAAGAGTGGTAGCAGCCGAGGTTGTGATAACTCACCAGAGGGTACTTTGTTGGCAACGATACCGAGAAATCATAGCCAGTGAAGCGCGGATGGTTCAGGCGCTTCAAAGGGGTGGACCCGACCTAGGTTGCCTCAATTTGAAGCTGGGGCAAGGGTTTTCGGATGACTATCTTCTTGGAAGGTCGGCTCAATGCGAAACGGTTGTAATAATGCATCCCCAAGCAAGCCGTAGTGGATAGGTCGGAATATTTTACGGTCATTATCCCTGCCTTTTTGTTCGAGTGAAATACGGTCATATGAATTCGTCCGGGCTCCACCCCAGGCCGACGGCCGTCTGTGCGAGCGTTCAGCTGCACTAGTGCTCATCGGCCGAAGTGGTCTCACCAAAGCTAGTTCTATACACGACATATGATTTCAATTTGTGGTAGCTGCATGATGGACCAGTGGTGAAAGTGAAGGCCCTTCTGTTTCAGAAATTCCCTCGAACTTGATACGCCGCATTACTGATGCAAGGGTCGATTTGGAGGGATGGCTATGACTGTCCAGATGGGACAAAATTACTTTTCCCCCTGCGAAGTACTTTTCCTTTCCCCCCATGATCCCACACAATCTTATGTGTTTCTGTGGGGATTTCCAGCATGTGGCCACACATCTCCCAACCTTCAGGTGTGTCCCACAAGTCAAGCTTAGTGATCTAAGCTAAAGTAAATATCATACTGCTCTTTTGTACCTGATGGGACTATGTATGTTCAATATTTAACAATTCTAAGCTCTTCTGACCCCCACACTCACAGTAGTCAATGCAGGTGCCCATCAGCACCCAGGCAAAGTGATTTAGTTATACTAAGTGTTTAAGAGATTAATAGGGACTATTCATGTGACATTTATAGGTTTTCTAGCTTCTCTGAATGATGTAACTCCCTTGATACTGCTTTCACCACTGCAGAGAACATACATCAGTAATGTCACTGCACATATTGACATGTTGAGGACTTGGGAGGATGCATATCTAATAACTGTCTACAGGAACACAAATGCCATTGCATTTTAGGCCAAGACATTCCAAAATTTAATGTATCTCATTCACAAAGTTTGATGGATTTGACTCTTGAGTCTCTATCTAAGGTGAGCTTGTAGGTTCCCAACTTCCCATGCATCCATGAGGCATTGTGTGGCAGCATTGCCTAGTTGCTGTTCAAATTCAAGTGCCTAAATACAACTCAGACTTAGACACTTGAGATGGTAGATGGATGAATGTTGCTGTAAGGGAGTCAGAACAGCTTATAAATGTTAAATATTGGACATGCATAGTCCTATTTGATACGAAAGAGCAGTATGATACTTACTTTAGCTTAGATCACTAAGCCTGAATTGTGGGATGCACCTGAAGGTTGGGAAATGTGTGACCACATGCCGGAATCCCCCGTGGAAGCATATAAATTGTGAGGAATAATGAGGGGGAAGGGAAAAGTACTTCGCGGGGGAAAAAATAATTTTCTCCCATTTGGACACTCATAGATGGCCATGTCAATGCTCCTAATGCCGCGTCTTCCCCCTCTTTTTGTATGAATGTACCTGCATCATCAAGTTAATGGTGTGACTCTGAATTCTCTTTCTTGCTCACTTCAAGTGGAGATAGGCTTGGGCACCACTTGGGTGCGGAGAGACTTGGCACAGATAGAGAGAAGGAAAGGTGTTTTCAATGCCAGGAGGCAATGAAAAAGGTTCGATCGATAAACGATGATCACGACGTCTCGGAAGTGAGATAATTGTAAATCAAACACGTAACTCAACTAGACCATAGAACTTGGTTGGAGAACACTGTGAATGCTTACTTCCCCGCCGGCTTTGCCAGTCTTCCCGGAAGTTTGAATCTGGTTCCAAATGCTACCCTACGTGTTGACGACTCGATATAGAGCCTACTACCGTTTAGGCTTAAGAGGTTCAGAGATGCTTCGGGTCGATTGAATGGGAACAGGTCTCCGGCGATTCTGGATTGATCAATCACTACGGTGATTGGCCGCATCTCAGGGCTGTCCGAGCCGGAGCGTCCTGTGGATTAAATGAAAGGCACATAGCTAGTACAGAGGAAGCATCCCATCGAAGATCCCCAGGTCCCGGCAAGGCATGCTTCATAGCTAAGTTTTTTGCTACGTGATTTATAAGCCCAAATCCTCGTAGGAATGCTCCCGTCTCTCCCTCCAATACCGCCATTCCAAACACCACAATGGGCTCGGACAACATCGAAGAAGCCCTCGACCTCAAACTCACGGTCGAAAATGTCATAGTGGTTCCCATTGTGACTCTCGCGGTGAGTCACCCCTAAACCTTCATGCAGGTGCATTCTGAATGTCGAGTTCCGTGCTCTCTTAGACCATATTCTTACTTTACGGTGAGTATTCTGTTTATACACAGAACCGTCACTTGCTTACGATACCGCTGAATAGGGATGTACACCATCATCTTCGGACTCTGTATCCACATCCTCTATCGTCGGAAACAGTCTAGCTCGGGGCTATATCTACCTTGCACTATGATGTTATTTGCTCTAGCCACTCTGTATATGGCTATGGATGCATTTGGCTACACCCGACAAGCCATGACCACATTTCGCGCATCCAAAACGCGAGATTTCAAACCGTACCTGCAATACCTACCGCAAGATAAGGCGAAAACTGCTTGGGTGTAAGTCGGCTGCCGGCATCCTTAGACCGTCCCCTCTCATACATCCATCTATAGATCGACAATTATTTTAACGGACAATTTCATGCGGTACGTTCTACATTTCTGCGGGAGTGGGTTTTGGCTAGTAAACCAATGCATTTTCGTTTAGTTCTATCGCCGATATCATGCTTGTGGGTGTACCTATCCGTAAAAGCTTTCGGGACTGTTAATGACACGCACCGGCGATATAGATCCACCGGTGCTAGCTACATTGTATGGGGATCCAAACGGCCCCTATTATACATACTTGCTTCCCCAGCTATCGTTCTCAACGGTATTTGTTTTGGGTTTCTTACATTCGCCATGGTATCAAGCGTGCTGACGAATAAATTCAGGTATAGGTCTGTTGGTATCCATCATGGGGACCATGGGGACTGTCAGCGAGTCCCTAAGACCACTCTATTTCAAAGCTATGCATGTCAACAGGGGATGGACGATAGCATCGGTGGTTTTCAATGGACTGTTGTCAGTTTTGACCGGTGAGCTCGAGGTTCAACCTGCCCTAATGTACCCCCTCACTCAGAGTTCGACCGACACTTGCCAATCATAGCGGGTAGAATATGGTGGATTAGTCGGGAGGCACGAAGTTACATGGGAAAACAAGTTGACACAAGATACAAGACTATTGTTGCTGCCATGTGCGTCTAAATGTGTCCTAACCCTCCTCAACAGATTTTGATTGAGCGCCTGTAGCCTGGAATCGGGGCTGCTCTACCCTGCCACGTTGATTGCGGCGGAGATTATCGGCAAATCGGTGGACAGTGTTCACCAACAGATCACAGTCATGTCTATGCAATTTGCTGAAAGAGAGACGTAGCATAGACCTGGCGCGAATGAAACATCGGCAACTGTGGATAAGTATGCTCTCGTCTTAATAACGAGACATCGGTGGGGAACCTGGTGATATCTAGGTCCGAGAAGATGGACGAGGGTCAGAAGGTTTGATTTTAGGTTCTCAGGATAAAGGGCACTCGCTCCACCTTTGACGGTTTTTGGTAGCGGACTCTAGACTAACATTGAAGTGTATCCCGTGAGATATTTCCCAATCTTTTATTGCCTTTCGTTTGTGACCTTGTGTATTTATCAATGATATTTTCATGGTATCTGAGCCGATAATGGCGTTGGTGTAGAGCCTCGAGGGAAAAGAACGGACAGGGAGAAGTTGTACCAATCGATGGCAAATAAAGAACAACCTCTGGAACACCACTCAAGTTCACGCAGAGGATCAAGTGTGAAGTATGCGTGGCTTCATTCCGCCTGATTGAGTATTGTGCCCGCTCTTTCTACGGCTTTCCTGGCAGCCCCGGTCTGAGACTGTAACACGCCGCCAGCAACCGAAAGTGAGCCATGTGTACGGCTCTATGAGAGGAAGCCTACCTTAACTCGTTACTCACCGTCATCACAGCTATTCCTCGCTGTCGCGTCTTGTCGGCTCAGCTAAAGCCATTAGACCTCCCTACAGTATGTTGCCCGGGCGATGGAAAGAATAGAGACGTGATGGAGGAAAAGGTCATGGTTTGGAGCCGAGAATCCCAAATGCACACCAGTTTAAGGAGAGTTTGATTTTGGTTCTTGAGTAACACTCGTATGACAAACATGATTGCGGTCGACAAAGCTATATCAACCTGTCAGAACTCACATGGTTTTATCATGTTTCTATGCTGGGTGCTAGTGAACGGTGATGCAACGGGGGTTATATCCGTGTCTTTAGACACTAAGACCATGTCCCTGGTAGTATATCGGTTAGTACACGCGCCTGTCATAGTGGAGGGAAGATGTTTTCACTCTGTCCGCGCGAAAGCTGGGTTCGACTCCCAGCCAGGGAGTTGGTCTTTACTCCTTGTCATTTTTTTGTTCTAGAATATCACGCCGCAAAGGACACCTGCATTAGATGCTGATATGTAACTTGATCTTGGCTTCAAATTCCCAGCGAAACCTGAAACTGGTTGTCTCTAGAGCTATATGTAAACCACTACTCCGGAAGAACACGTTTAGTGCGGCCGCCGGCGATTCCCCATAAGACTGGGTGAGGCACAATACGTATGAATCGTTGGCTAGTACTTCCGTCACTGAACGAAATGGGAGAGCCTGGTAAACAGTGGAAGTCCAGGAATCAAGCCGCACGTGGGCATAGCATTTACGTTATAGAACCTACACCTGCTCCCTGAGTATCTCCGATGTGGTGTAGTGGCTAACATTGCTGTCTTTCATCCGGAATGTGGTGATGTTTCGCACAGCAGCCCGGGGTTCGATTCCCCGCATCGGAATCGTCTGCCATCTGGCGACGGCGTCTTTTTATACTCCCGCATAGACTCTGATTGACTGATCGCTTACTCTCCAGTTTCAACCTCACGAAGCCGCGTGTGCACCGAGTGGTTACGGCTATGAAATTTTCCTTTTTTTATCCCGAACGCCCACAAGCACGGTAAATCTCAAAATACTATATGTACTCGAGACGACACCGTGTTTATTGAACTTGAGCAACGCCAAGTTATCCCAGGGATGACGGATCATCTCAGCGGGATAGGACAGTATACCTAGGGCTTCCTGAAAACATCACAAGAAACATCAGATCAGAGACTGTCGAGCCAGTGCCATGGATAGAACCAAAGACAAACCTGTTATGAGTTCAAGTCGATGATCGTTCTCATTTAACCCTCCACGCAACTTCTACCCAACAACTTTCCGCTTGGATATAGAAGATTCGAAGGGCGATCTTCGCCACTGATCTCGAGACTAGGGGTTTTGATCTGTTGCATGAATGTCGTCCTTCCGGTCGTCGTCATCCACTAGAAGATGATCGGACGAGGTTCAGGCCACAAGCACCGACAATATTCGCCTAATGACTGGCCAGCTAGCCGGCCTGACCACCCCATAAGATGACTAGGATGACTCTGTGAAAGAATAGAGCTTGCGGGGGATCGTCTTATCGGGAGGCATCATGTAGGGAGTGTATCGAGGGGTCGGCTTGATGAAGGTGAGAAAGAAATGGAGTAGGGGGCGCCTCAACGAGAGGCCCAGATTAGTTCCTGCTGACGGGGAGAACGAGGACGAAGAATAAGATTCGATGGAACCAGCGACACTTGAATGAAAACGTACACGCCGATCTTCCTCCGAGCAAATGAGGGTCATATCCGTAGACCAGCTCTACAAGAATAGCGGTAAGGTATGCACCACGATGTTGTATCAAAGTCACGTTTGTTTCTGCGTGTTTCGAGGGCAAACGTAATTTGCAACGCCAGCGGGAAAGAGAGTAGTAAAGTGATAGCGACGGAGTTGTATCTCTGAAAGGGAAGGGTCAGGTCCCCTCGAGCAGCTACTATCAGCGGCGAGAAGACGTACAAGTTGCCGTTAAGATGACCGTGGCCCAACAGCTCCCCTCTCTTCTAGCCGACTTCACTTTCTCGAGGGTGACGCTCGTCGACGGCGTATCCTTTCCATTGATTAGATGGAATGGCAGAGGCTGCGTGCTGTGGCTACTCGAAGGGCATGCAAGGTCGAGGAAATCGTCCCAATTTTGATCTGACTCCTGGTCCTGTGAGAGCGGTATCAGCTTAAATGTGTTTTCGATGACAGTGGAGCTATGTTTATGGAAGGCACCGTCGCTCAGCGAAGAGCCCGACATTGCTGGCATCAAACCAACCAAGATCGCGTCATAGACGAAATAGCCACCTAAACGTCCTGCACTCACCTAAAGCCTTGAGAGCACTAACACGCAAGAAGAGACAGATTCACGAAGGCGCGACGTAGGATGAGAGGGGAGACTCGTCGTGGTTTGGGTGGAAGCACGTCCGGAGAACCGAACATGAGGCGTCGGCAATTTCCGAACGCACGGACCAACTTGAGGGGAGGCTCATGATCAATAGGCAACCCTCGGATACATCGTTGATTAAGACTCGGGCCAGTAGTACGATGTTCTGCCGTACTTTTCCCGTGAAATCCCCATCCTTGACATAGTGGGGGCCATGCTTCAACTTGTCTCTTTACTACGCGGGAATCCGCAAACGAGTACACCTTACTTCCAAGGTGACTCTGTACGGAGCGTTTGCTTGCACCTTCCTCTCAATATATAAAGTACTTGTAAGTTTCCTGTCTATTTAACCATAACGCTGACTCAATGTCGCGTCGGTTCTCGGGTTACCTGCGGTGTAGGATTGAGTGACCCAATTGCTCGTAAGATAACTACTTCCCGTTCCGATACGCCAGTGAATTCAATAGAAATAACATTTGGCGAGCTCTTTCTCTAGGATACGGTTTGTTGTATATCTTGCACTCCATTTTGATTCCCCAAACATGCTCTCAGGTGTTGTACCGCGACAGGAGTACGTGTACAATTGACTGACTTCCCAACTCCAAGAACTCTTTAGCTACAATCAGTCTATCGGAACGAGGAGAAACCTTGATATACTTCTCTAGCGCCAAAGATAAGATTCACAGGTTCTATTCATCAAGTGAAATTCAGGAATTTTTCCTCATCAGTCTGCTACCGAATCTGACCCTCAAGGCAGGCTATGATAGTGCCACAATGCTCTTCAATCACTCCGATGTGGTGTAGTGGCTAACATTGCTGTCTTTCATATTATCGTTCCAGTTGATTCACAGCAGCCCGGGGTTCGATTCTCCGCATCGGAATTCGTTCAGGACTCCGTGTTTTTACCCATCTTCCCCCCGATAATAGGTGAACACAGTATATTTTGTGAACCGTGGAAGGTTTGCGAAGGAAGGGCGCTACCACACTTCTTCTTCAGGGATTTTGAGTGAAATGTCAGATGTGACGAGCTGAGGATAGTAGGAGGAAATAGTCAGTCAGAACAGGGATCAAACCGTCGTATCGTCATCAGATGAGGATCGGAATACGAGAAGAGCACAAAAGGTATGTCAAGGGATATCTGCCCCCGAATCGTCCAACGTATAAAGCAACGGATTGCTTGTGTTCGGAATTCAAGACGTACACTAGGACACCACAGTGGCCCCGCAAAGGAGAATGGCGCAGAACTAGCGCTTCTGAGAGCGAGAGACCTTTCGGATGAATATGAGAGATATATATAGTCGCATCTGGAATTGTCCTGCGTGTTGGTATGTTGATAGACTCGCTGAGTGTAATAATAGTAGCGTCACTAGGTTGATGCTCGCTGAGTCATACTGTTTAGCCCGACAAGAGGTCACGGTCATTAAATATCTTCAAAAGACGGGCTCTCTACATTTTTGGAGAGATCGTAGAAGGATATTCCGAAGAATATTCGAGAGCTACGGAGGTGGGAAGAAACAGAGACGCGCACTATATTCTAGCAGTTGCCGATCCGAAAGAGTTTAGCTAGGGACGACCAATGCATTCTACAAAAAACGGCCTGGCTAGAGAAAGAGAATGATGATATACATTCTGTAGCAGGATTCTGGCGGAGAGTAAAGAGAGCGTCCGCACGCCTTGTTTGCAAGGCTGACATGAGGGGGAGATAAAGTCGAATCTGGAGTCGCAAGGAGGAAGGTAGCCCAAATACGTGTGCTGCGTACGATGTCTACGAGTCGGCAAAGGTCACCTTTCTCGAGATGAAAACCTGCTTGGGTTGATGTTCGTTGGCGGCTAGTTTCCGCCGTCATTTTGGCGAGTTCGTGGAAATGTACGTTGCGTTGTCTATCTGGCCGTCATGGATATCGTTCGACTTGTGTGCAAAAGGGTGCTGATTTTTTGTGGTCGCGTCGTAGCCGGATGTCCCTGAAGACGTGGGAGACGATGGAAGAACCACGGATGGGGAAAGAAGTGGCAAGGCGCACCACATCATAGCAGTAGCCAGTCCTACAACGGTCATCAACACCCCCGTGTATTCAGCTAGAAGCGGTCAGCGCATGACAACAGCCAGAGCTCAGTCAGTCCGGGAGATAAGTACGGCGTAGCATGGGCATCTGCTCTGCTTTAGCCCAGACTTTCCGACGTCAAAATCAAACAAAAGACTGACATGGGACGAAGGAAAAGACAGTCGTGGTCGGGTTTGAAGTGAGTCGGAGACTCGGAGATACATGCACGAGCCATCTCCTGAATGAGGCCCGGAATTGTCCTGCCGGATCGACGAGGGCATATCAATCCTCATGGGCCGACGGTGAAGAATCGATATTCAAATGAGTCTGAAGCGGTGACGAATCAGGGGGGTGGCTTACAATGGTGAGTACGCTGCGAAGATAGTGCAAGTCACGTTCCTGTCCTGTCCATGTTAAGAAGGATCAAGCTGTATGTCAACGAAGTCTCGTGAGTTGTGAACTTTCACAAATCTGCTGATGTGAGCAGGTTCTGTCAATGAGTAAGGTTGCTCACACATTTTACAGTCTTTCTAATGTAATTTACGTGGGTGTGAGCCGAGTGTCAGCTTCTCGCAAGCAGAAACCTTGCGTGTACGTTCGGCTTGAATGGACAGCAGGAATATAAGCGAATATCCGGGACATACGGGGAGAAAAGGTGAGTAATCATATGTCGATCTCTTGGCCATACTGCTCACCGTTACATATCGCGATGATTGCGGAAGTGGCTCGATGAACAGTTGTACATATTGACGAGAACTTGGGAAGATCTTTTAGGACCGAAGGTGCGCAGAGTCAAGATGTTCGTGACGTCGTTGTACACATTCTCGGAGCTTCGCAGGAGTTGCATTGGGAGATTGCGGGTTCGTTCTCGCATGAAACATAGGTTGGACCAGGTATACGAGATGCAAGAGTACAGAAAATTTACAGGAATTTACCCAAACCCAGGGTAAGTGGCGAATTGACTGACCGACAACACGTTGTTACTGGGAATCCAGGGAACATCGGAATTATCTGCCTGAGCGCTAGTTCAAATTGTGCGTCTCCGTGAACCCTTCTGAGGAAGCCCGAGTCTGTGGAAAAAGCATGTAATCCCGCGACATCGCTGATGTTATCATCGTTGGATCTTGGGAAGAGCTGCGAGAACGAGTTACGAAATGTTATCCTGATCAAACCGCTGAAGGAACACGTGCTCGTTTCATTGGAAGGATCGGAGTTGATTTACCCAAACCTCGTTGATTCAGGGTCAAAACGATCGACACGCGGCAGAAACGGGCGCTGGTTTTGCCATGTATTTCCGTGTGGATCTTTATCGTATATAAAGGCGAATGAAGACCAAGCTTGAGTCCATTATCTCGACCTTCATAACCGGCTACTCAGCAGATGTCTACCCTCACATTCGAAAAACATATCTTCGGACATGCCGTTGGTGCTTGGGGTCCGTTGAAGCTTATACCTCTTCCTTGCCAGCATTTTTGACGCTGCTTACTATTAGGACACAACAAACCTCTTATCACTATCGCCGTTCTCATAGCTGAGACTCGAAAGGACGTCGTTTTCACGATCCTTACTATGCCTACGATGTACCCTAAAATCATGGGTGAGCTCGCGAAGCTATCCCAAGAACGGTTTAAGGCCATCGAGAGGCAAATCAAGTGAGTAGAACTTATCACTCCATCTCTATCAGTCAACTAATTGATTCTCGGATAACAATGAAAGCGTACTCCAAGTTATCCCTCCAAACCCCGACCCATTCTACTACGCTGTCGAGATTGAAACCGAGTTCAGGAAACTGTTTGACCAGAGTGGGACTATCACTTGTTTGAACTCTGGAAAGACCATCGATTGCGCGTACTTTCCTCCTCCGAGTGTGGCTATAGTCGACGTGCGAGCTTTCGGACTTCTCCTTTGGTTTGTGGCAATACTGACCGATTTCGGGTTTACTCTATCCAGCCGTTCGCGGAGTACGCTCGGGAGGGTATTCGCGCTTGTGCTTCTCCTGAACAGGTACCCATTATTGCGTGGATGACTGGCTCAGCGGGACCTTTACTAGCGATGTGGGGTCCGGAGAAGTACGGTGGGAAGGGAGACGTTCTCTCGAGATTGGAGGAGGAGATGAAGAGAGGCAAAAGCGAGCTTGAAGCTTTTGAGTCTGAGGTGTGCCAACCCATACTTTGCATTGAGCTATCATATTTCATATTTAACTTGCAATTTAGAGTGTTTTTGGTGCAACTGACAAGGTCGTACAAGTCCCCGGATACCCGCCCTACTATGACTATGAACGGTTCACTCAGCCGGTTCCCGAAGCGATGAAAACCACGAATATGAATGCTGTACTACATGGTCTCCGGTTCATGGCCAAGACCGAGGGTCTCATTACGATCTCTTCGTCTGTGTTGGAGAAGGAGGCCGTTGAGGCGTGTCGAGAGCACTATGCGAGTATGGGCAAGTCGTATTTCTCCATTGGGCCAATGCCTACCATCCCTGCGCCTTCAAACGGCGGAAAAGGGGACGTCCAAACTCTAAACCAAGTCATCTCATTCTTGGATAGTATGAAGACTGAGTTTGGCGATAAATCGGTACTATATGTAGGTTTCTTGGTTTCATTCCTGCTACTAGCCGACAGTATTCAATCTTGCGTGTTAGATCTCCTTCGGAACATTCTTCTGGCCGCCAGATGCCAACGTTTTTCGGGGGATAATCGATCAAATTATCGCTAGCAAGACTCCATTCATACTCGCGCACCCTTCACTGCTCCTACAACCCGACCAAAGCCTGCTAGAGGCCGTACGTGCATGTCCGACCGCTCTGGACGTAACGTGGGCGCCACAGGAACGTATATTGACTCACCCGGCCACGGGTTGGTTCCTTACTCACGGAGGGTGGAACAGCACTCAGGAGGCGTTGTTGTACAAGGTTCCCTTGTGAGTGTTCAGCTGTCGAAGTCTCAAACGATGCTAATTGAGCTAACGTTTCCTCTCTCCCGACTTGTAGGATTATGTGGCCGATGGCCGGGGATCAACCGTTAAACGCGCTTCTCCTCTCTACCAAGTTTGACGCTGCGTTTGAGTTAATAGAGGTGCGATCAGGGAAAGACGGACAACAAAAGCCGTATCGGTACAGGGAGCAGCCTACACCTCGCTTTACTATCGAATCGGCGAAAGAAGAATTTGAACATATCTTGTCAGATATGCAAGGAGAGAAGGGACAGCACGTGAGGAAGACTTTGGAGGATCTTTCGGGACAGATCGAGGGGGTTTGGGGTGCAAACGGAGAGGCAAGACGGGAACTGGAAGCCTTTCTGTACAGATATGTCGATTGATCGGAATGTGTGTACTACCTAGAAGGCAGTTTATAGAGCATAAAATGATACCCTTACGTTCATAACATCACAAAGACTGGAGAGAACTCGACTGATGCTCGACTGATGTAGGACATAATTTCATGCCAAGTGTTGATTATCCATTCGAGTATCACGAAATTCGGTATCCTGATCCCTATAACTTCCCACAAATCTCGCAAGCACCGTCCAAAAGTCACCGTAGGTACAGCAGTTAGGACGTCCACACCTGGTTGGCATTCCCTTCAGCACACTCAAATGTCTGCAATCCGTGTCCTCTTTCGATAACTTGAATATCCAAACACTGATTGCTCGAGCCCGCTGCCTTGAACGTGCTACCCTCAACAACCCATCCAGTTACCGGGCTAGTTCCCGTGTTTTGGCCGCAGTTGTCCATATGGAGATTGGCGCCGTCGAATGCTAGAACCCAATGGTTTTTAGACGCAAGGAAAAGAGATACAGAGGAGGAACGTACAACCAGTGGGTGGAGCACCGTGTCCAT